TTTTTTAAACCCCCCCCCCCCCCCCCCCCCTGCGCCCAACCATTCCAACCGCCTTCCAATCCTCCCCAACACACTTCAATTCGGCGTAAGCTTCAACAACCTCCCCCCAGCCCCATCCTCAATCACCCAAATCGCGCCCTCCTTATCCTCCCGAATACCTCTCATGCGTTTACCCATGCTGATGCGCTGTGCCTCCGCCGCCGTATCGCCCGTGATACTAACCCTCACAAGCCCTTGCGCACTAAGACCGGTGATGATGGCATTCCCCTTCCACCCCTTAAACAAATCACCTTTGTATATAATAAGCCCAGCAGGCGAGATAACAGGTACCCAATTCGCCCTCGGCGCCGCCATCTCCGGCCTCGTACTATGTTTCGGTATCAACGTGCCATTGTAATGCCGTCCCTCACACACAACCGGCCATCCGTAATTCTTACCCGGCACTATCAAATTCAACTCGTCACCGCCAAACGGCCCCATTTCGACTTCCCACAAACGACCCTGCGCGTCGAAATCGATACCTAGGGGGTTTCGGTGGCCGAGCGTGTAAATCTGAGATTGGATAGCGCCTTGAGAAGCGAATGGGTTTCCGGCGTAGGCAGTCCCGTTGTCGTAGAGCCTGATTATCTTGCCTAGGTTAGACGTCATGGATTGGGCGGGGTGCATTTGGTTTATCTCGCCGGAGGATATGTATAGAGCGTTGTCTTCAGGACCGAATTTCAAACGGCATGCGAATTGAAGGCCGCCTGTGGCGCGCTGAGAGTGCCGCCAGATGACTTCGAGACCTGAGAGTGCGCCGCTGCTACCACTTAGACTCAGCTTGGTGCGCGCGACTGCGCAGCCTGCGCCGCCGGAACCGTTTTCGGCGTAGCTTATATACACGACACTGTTATTCGCATATTGTGGATGCAAAGCGATGTCGTGGAGACCGCCTTGACCGGCATACGCGACGGCGGGGACACCCGAGATGCTGGCTTTGGACTTGGTGGTTGGGTCCACGAGGAGGAGGTTGCCTTTTCGCTCTGTGACGAGGATCCGGGTGTCGGGGAGGAAGGCGAAGGCCCAGGGTTCGGAGAAGTCGGTTATGGGTGTTGTTTTGAAGGGTTGTTGACGGGTGGATAGGGATAGGTGGGGGGATAGGGCGGAGGTGGTTGTTGCTAGGGCTAGAGAGAAGGTGGCAGAGAGGAAGAGATGCATCTTAGAGGCGGTTTGTTAGATTGCTAGATATCGAGTTTTGGTGTAGTAGAGCGTTGAGGTTGCTCACAGCTGGAAGGTAAAGAGCCGCTTAGGTTATCTGCTCCCTAGAAAAGGTAGGTGTATGAGCGACGGAACGCCTGGAGCAGCCTCATGTACCATTCTAGCTCCTCCCGGCCTGTGACGTCTTGATGTGTACATGATTTCAGTTAGAGTAGTTGCACTTTACGACCCTGGTAGTGGTGGTATGTGTGTTGGTGGGGCAAGACTTAGAGTGTGATACAATCTTGGAAGTCGTAAAGGATTCGATGCCGGACAATTACCTGCCTAAGGTAGGCGATTGGCGCGCGGTAACTATCTAGGTAGCTATTCCCGCTATAGCACTGCTCGGTAAGTAAGAGCACATAAGTGCCGCTATATTAGTGAAAATACGTGCAAGCATAATAGAGTAGCCAAGGCCTTCACGTGGGTGCTTGAGATGCCGACAGAGGATTCCAAGGCTAGGCGTAACGATAGAGCGCGGCACATGTTGTGACTGCCCGTTTTGGCGCGACCTATATTTGCAAGGTTAGATTATTAATTTTCCGTCAACCGATATTGAACTTGCGTCACAACACAGCTTCATGTGCCTTCAAACACAACTACTTCCACGAAGACGCTGCCTGCATAAGTTCAACGGACTGTTCCAGGCTTTTATCACACAACAACAAGTACGCATGTCCTCAATGTACGGGAGTGTAACACCAATATCCTGTCGATTCCAGCAAAAATGCTTTATCAGTATCATTCATCTCGGTCTTGCCGTGGATATAACGCCCCCGCTCACCTAACCTCCATCTCCATATCCTCCTCCTCAATCGTAGGCAAAACCTGATACATCCTCTTCCCCTTGCCCATCCTCTTCAAGCACCGATCCGTATGCAGCAAATGCCCCCTCTTCTGCCTTACAAAGCCCGCAAAACACGCCGCACTCGACGCAATCGCACCCGCTGAGATATATATCGGTATGAAGAAGTCCTGCGGCTTGTACCAGATCATCGTCGTCGCAAAAGAGAGTAATTCGAAGAGATTCTGTAACGACATTTCGATAGCGGAGAAAGAGCCACGAGAGGCAGGTGGCGCGTCTTCTTGAACGAGGTATTGGACGCTGAGATCGAAGCCCCAGAGACCGAGGCGGGAGACACAGACGCCGATTACGAGGGCGCCGCCGGCTAGCATCGGTGCTGTGGTTGTGGGGAAGACGTGGAATAGGCCGATTGCCAAGGCGATGGCGAGGAGTTGTTCGTTGATGAACCAGAGACCTGCTCGTACGGCGCCAATTTTGTTCATGAGCCACGGCGCTGCGATGGTGGCGGATAGTTCAAGGACGACGGAGACAAGTCGCATGACGGAGACGTGCGTGCTGGTGAAGCCGAGGGTAAGGAGGTAGGTCGTCATTTGCGAGGCGAAGGAGAGGACGGTGAGGTAGAGAAGGGAAAGGGAGAAGGAGGCCAGGAAGGCGGGGTTGGTGATGTATTCGCGATACGGCGCGAGGTGTGCGGTTATGGTTTTGGTGATGGTGGAGCGTCGCGTAGTGGTATTTGGTACGGTGTCCTGGTTAGGCGACGAGGCTCGCTGTTGCAGTTCCGTAGCAATGTCCGTTTCAGACGCTTGTTTCGTCACGACGCCCTTTCCAACACTCAATTCCGGTACCGCAGCATAGACATTCGCGATGGCGAAGTATTCTACTAACACGCTTGTCGCGTTTTGTGCGAAGACGGCCCAGATGGCGAGTTTGGTGGAGTATCCGTCTACGAGCCCGATACCGACGGGCGCAATGAGCTTGCAGATGAGATCTATCCTGCGCATCGCGCTGTTCAGCTCTTGTCGGTCGACAGATAGACTCTCGGACACGACGACGATCCAGTCACGCTCCACGGATACGGTGTTGGCGACGAAGGCGAGTTTCTCGATGCATGCCAGCACCACGCTGATAAGGAACAGTCCGTAGGTTACTATTCCAATATCCTTCTCTTCCCCACCCAAACCCAGCATCGCTACCAAAATCGCACAGCTCCCCGCAACACTAACTCTTTGCCACACGATACTCTGGCGCACAACCCATAATCTATCTCTCCGGTCGACCAGCCCTCCAATCCATGATCCGAGGACGGCAGCAGCAAGCGACCGGAAAAGCGCATAGCATGATGCGAAGAAGAGTGTTCCAGGGAAGATTTTGGCCAGGAAGATCACAGCGCCGAATTCAAAGGTACGCGCATTCCACGTCGAAAGTACGTGTGAAATGTACAGCTTGGTGAGAAGGTGGCGGGGTGATCGTCGCGTGGGCGATGGTGTTGATCGGGCGGGGTAGACTGGTTGTGGTTGGGTTGGTGAGGCCAGCTCTCGTCTGGTCTCGCTCGTCGAACTCGTCGAACTCGTCATGTCGTCACAAAGCGTATGGATAGGAAGAAGCAAAAAGGCAAACCGCCCCCATGGCGAAGAAGAAGCTACATATCGTGTTCGCAAGGTTTAGCTGCCTAATACCGTGATGGTCATGAGACGGGTGCCCGATGCTGTGGGAAACGGACGCCTGGGCCTTCCGAGTCGCCTCATGGATTGCGTTTGCACGTGTGGACCCTGTCGATCTGGTAGAGGGGTTAGGCTGTGTTGGGTTAGCGTCGCGAGGTTTGATAGGTTTGATAGATAGCAGGGCCGAGTGTTTATTGAGAGATGTTTTTAACGAGCTGTCGAGAAGGGATCGTTGGTTTGTGGAGAGTGATAGTTGTCAAGGAAGGTGGGTCTTTGCCGTTGTGTAGTGATTCCGAGCATCGCATTCATTCGGCTTTGAAAGCACGTAATCAATGCTCATGTTATCCTCATAACTACATGAAGCATGTGGCACTGCACATGTTGCTGTAGTTCGTTACGTTATTGACAAATAGCACGCTCTGTCCGAGGTATGCCCTTTTGATCCAGAAAGAACACTTACAGTACATACCTAGGCATAGCAATGCTAGTATCGATTGCAGTACCTGCTACATTGGATTAGTGGGCATTAGCTTTTCCTTCTTGGTTCCATTGGAGGTTCAACATAGCCAACTATGAACGAGTACTGCAACGTATGTCGATGTTTCTCGATGATGGTGTTAAGTATCAGACTGCTGACAATGCCGATGTTGCGAGCGTGCTCAGGTGTCCTTAGCGCGAACCCTGGATCTTGGAAAGACGCGTTCCCGAAGGCCGTTCCATCTTCCGACACACTCCCTTCCATGGAGCTCGCTATACACTGTCAATGGCACCTGATTTTACCGCAGATGCATGGCTTCATGCCTCGTTCTCACCTTCCATGAAAATGTTCGGCTATACGGCAAGGCGTCAGGCGCTTGGCCAGGACGTGCTCGTGCATCCACCTACATGACGCGTACCTAAGCAACACACTTCCAAGGCTGATGACACGCCCACCAGCTCCCTTTGCTACAGGACGGATGAGACGCTCTATTCAACGTGCTAGAAGAGGTAAGCTATCTCACATGACCACATTGGCTGCATGACTTATAATGACAGGATGGCTCGTCCTACCCCTCGGCAGACACCCCGCCCGCTTACAACCTACGCCCTCCTTCTTGCAGCCCCCGAGCAATACGCATATAGCAAAACCGCGAGACGGCGGCCCGTACAATGAGGACAAGCAAGAACGGAGCAAGTTTGCTCGGAGCGTGCTTGAGGGAAGCACGGTGGCTCTGATATCGCTCTTCGGCCTGGGTCTTGGCGGCTATGCCTATAGTTTGTTCTACAAGAGGACGGTTGCGAAGAAGATTGAGAATGCCTTTGCCACGGGCTATAGCTCGCAGGAGCGGGTTGCGTTGGGTCGCATCTCATACGGCACGGAGCCAGACAAGATACAAGAGATTGTAGAGAGGGAATACTGGGTTCCGCGAGCGGAGCAGGAGGATATCGACAACGTCGTCAGCGGAAGGGCCAGGGGGAGATACTATTTGGTTATCGGCGAGCGAGGTACTGGCAAGCGAGCACTACTCCTGGAGGCTATGCGGAAGGTCAACGGCGATGGCATTGCTATGCTAGAAGCGCATAACGATTTGGAAGTCTTTCGAACGCGACTCGGCAAGGCCATCGACTACGAATTCCACGAAGACTACATTGGAGGACTTTTCAGCATTCGGGGCCCTAGGGACAGCTCGCCGCTACTGGACATTGAGAGAGCGCTCAACCAGATGGAGAAGGTAGCCTTGTCGCTGCGAAAGCGTCGCGGCAAGCCTCTTCTCATGATCATCAACAACATTCATCTGTTCAAAGACGACGAAGCGGGAAAGCATCTACTGGAGATCTTGCAACAGCGCGCCGAAATCTGGGCTGGCAACGAGCTTGTCACAACCGTCTTTACGTCCGATGAATTCTGGACTTTGGAACGATTAACACCGCATGCGACCAACATGCACGTCATCAGCGTCAGAGACGTACGGAAGAACGTAGTAACCACCGCACTCAAACAATACCGCGCTCGCTACCACAACGAAGACGTACCCCAAAGCATCCTCGACGAAGTCTTCGCCAAAGTCGGCGGCCGACTAATCTTCCTAAACCAAGTCGCCAAATCCCACGACATGCTAGAAACCTGCAAGCAAATCAACCGAAGAGAGAAAATGTGGTTCCTAAACAACTGCTGGATCCTCGGCGACTCCATGGACGACGACGTGGAAGAACAACAAAAATACTGCGCCGCCGCCATCGTCCTAGCACGCGCGCTCGTTTTGCGCGAGAACGAGACACCCGGTTCGGATGATCAGTTCACACTTCCCCAGATCCCGCTACACGAGGCCCGCCAGATTATCACGCGCGCCGACTTTGTCCATCCGTTCGATCACATAAACGTTATTCACATCGATGCGCATGGTATGGTAAGAGCGGATTCTGTGCCGATGCAGAATGCGTTTAGGGAGGTTGTCCAGCAGCCAGGCTTTGAGGAGCATTTGAAGGCGACGTTGAATCGGTTGGATGAATTGGAG